ATATTTTTATATATATGTTTGGTATATTCAATTGAATTTCCTTGCTTCTGCACCTGCCACTAGATTATCTCTGCATCACCCAAAGGTAGACTGGTAGAGAATGCTCATTGCATTAAGTCCGCCTATGTACAATGTTTTGGGCATGAAGTCTCAAATAAATAAATAAAAGACTCATCGAATCTTAATCTTTCAGTTTTTATTTTTATCAGCCGTTATAGTCCCACTGCAGGGCAAAGGCCTCCCTACCCTTCTTCCACTCCTCTCTACGCAAAGCTTTCTGCGGCCAATCCTCGTCGAAGACATCAAGTTCGTCCCGCTATCTCCTTCTGGGCCTGCCTAGGTGTCTGTTAGCGTTGTGTGGGCTCCATTCGGTAATAAATTTTGCCCACCGCTCGTTTGACATGCGGCAAATATGTCCAGCCCAGTTTAGGTCTGCGGCTTTCTGACCAATGTCAGCGATTTGAATTTTGCAGCGCAGTACGGTAGGTACCTATTTTTTTAGACTTTCAGAGTTATAGAAATATTTCGAAGAATAATTTACAATGCTTCTTTGTACCATATCATTTTATGGTTTATGTGGTAGGGATGTGTTTTACCGGTAAAATAAACCGTAACTTATTGTGACAGAAACTAAACGTTGTTGATTAGTACGTCTGCTTTATACTAGATGGCAGAGTTCACAAGTTCACAAAATCAGTTTACAAAATTGGAAATTTTCCTCAGTTAATAATAATTTTTAATCTTAAATAATAATAATAATAATCTTGCAACACTACACCTGTCAACATGACAAATTTTGCACATTTCTTTCAAAATTAAATAATATTATTTTTTTTCCTCCATAAACTGCTAACAATAGAAATTTAATCAAACATTTGTACAGAAAAATAGTTTAAATAGATTTTTGTGATTAAAATGAATCCACGAACCATATTAAATAAACATAAAAAACGGACAGTGACAGCCGTCGTCACAATCAAAACCAAGGAAAATATAATCACAATATAATGGAGTTAAGTGCAAAATGTTGACAAGATCGAAGGCAAGAGCACGAGGCGCATCCCCACCATCCCCGGATTCGTCGCTCAGCTCCGCCTCGCCATCGCCGGAAACCAGAACGACACGATCGCCGGTGGTAGCAGTTGCGTCGAGCTCGAGCGATGAATATCTCTCCCCGCTGGCGTCGCCGGTACCTGTACGTCGGCAGAGGAGAGGCCGGCCACCGATGGGCTTGGGAACCAGGGGCCACCGGGCTCCGGGACGGGTCCCCGCTGCCGGTGGTTGTGCGCGGCGCATGAAATGGTCTCAAGCCATTAATGAGAACGTCATGCGCGCGTATTATGGTGCTACAGAGGGAGGAACTAACCTCACTGCGTACCGTGACAGGATGTTGTCTCTGTTTCAGGTGCTTGAGCCATCTGTCAACGTCTCCGCCCAGCGACTATCGGATCAGGTGCGTGTCATTCAACGCAGCCGCAGATTGGACGATGCTGCACTTGATCGGCTGCGCTTAGAAACACTACACAACCGTGTCGTCCTCACTTCTTCCCAGCCGGCGACACAAACACCTCCAGTGGAAAATGCCACACTCGCCACTCCTGGTGCTGCCGTGGAGGACGATAAGGTTGAACAAGTGAGTACTCAGTGCAATGAAATATTGAGGAACGCTTTGGAGGATGCGATACATGAGTATAGATTTGCTCCTAGTGAATTAAGACCCAGATTACCACGTTTGCCCATGTGTGGAAAAAATAGGGCGCTGGTGTGTGCCTTGGATTCGCTACTCGAAAATTATTTTGAAAGTAGCGAAAATCTCTATGATACACACTCGATCCTGTATTGTGGGGCGATAGCAGCTTGTCGAGTAGCTAACGTCAGATTCCCAAATCTTGACGCAGCAGTCCGACCGAAACCAGCTGCTCCTGCCTGGCAATGCAGGATTGAGCGTCGTATCGATGAGGCCAGGGTACTCATCGGCAAACTAACCTGCTTCAGGGAGGGGAACAACCGCCCTAGAGTGATGCGCTTTGTAAGGCGTGCATTTGTGGGGACTGAAACTAGTCCTCATGAATACCTTACACGTGTTACAGCGCGCATCGACTTCCTGAAGCAGAAAATCTATGCATGGGCAAACCGTATTAGAAGATATAAAAAAAGGGTAGAGCGCTATACTCAGAATCGTATGTTCCAAAGTGATCAGAGGTGGGTGTACAGAGCCTGGGAACGGTCCAGCCAAGATGTGGTTAACGGACAGCGTCCGGACGATGAAACTACCAACTCGTTTTGGCGCAACATCTGGTCGGTGCCTGTTAACCACACGGAGGCGGACTGGATGTGCGATGTTAAGCGGGAGTGTGAAACTTTACCAGAGATGGAGGAGGTAGTCATTACCTCCTCTGATGTAGCCAATGCAGCCTGTTCGGTCCCCAATTGGAAATCACCGGGGCCGGACGGACTGCACAACTTTTGGCTGAAATCATTTACCAGTTCACACGATCGCTTAGCGTCGCAGTTCCAGATGGCCTTAGAAGCTGGATCGTTGCCTCAGTTTCTGACTACAGGAATTACCCACCTGCTCCATAAATCGGGTAGTTACACTGAACCCAAAAATTATAGACCGATTACGTGTTTACCAACGGTCTATAAACTTTTTACATCCATTTTGAGAGCAAAAATTACAAAACATATAGAAAAAAATGCCATCATGTCTGTCTCTCAGAATGGATGTAGAAAGGGGTCACGTGGAACTAAGGAGCTACTCCTCATTGATATGGTCATTAGCCAGCAGGTTCGTCGATCCCGAAAGGATTTATCTACATGCTGGATAGATTATAAAAAGGCTTATGACTCCGTACCACATACATGGCTTATGAGGGTGCTGGAGTTGTATAAAATTAATACAACTCTGCGCAACTTCTTACAGTCATGTATGAGGCATTGGAGCACGGTGCTTTCCTACCCAGGATGTAAGCAAATCCAAAGGAGTGAAGAACCTGTAAGGATAGTGCGAGGAATATTCCAGGGTGATAGTCTGAGCCCACTATGGTTCTGCTTGGCCTTGAATCCTCTCAGTACTTTACTTGAGGCTTCAGGGCTGGGCTATCGTTTGCGGAGAAAAGGTCACGTTATTTCTCACTTACTTTACATGGATGACCTCAAGTTGTTTGCACCAAACAAGGAGGAGCTGATGGAACTACTAAAAATAACTAAAAATTTAGTAGTTCCATCAGAATGGAGTTTGGTGTTGATAAGTGTGCGGTCATGCATGTAAAGCGAGGCGGGATAGTGGAATCTGAAAGTCTAGAGCTGTCAGATTTCACAAAACTGAGATCACTCTCCGCAAATGATACCTACAAGTATTTGGGTATGTCGGAAGGATTGGGTATTAATGGGCCGCACATGAAACAATCTTTACAGGAGCGCTTCTTTGGCCGCCTGAATAAGGTACTGAAAAGTTCGTTATCAGGCGGCAACAAGGTACGCGCCTTTAACGGTTGGGGCATGCCGGTCCTGATGTATTCTTTTGGCATACTCAAATGGACTCAGACTGAACTTGACATCCTGGATAGACGAGTCCGGACGCTGCTGACTGCAAATCGAATGCATCATCCTCGTTCATCAGTCATGAGGTTGTACATCCCGCGGAAATGTGGGGGTCGAGGCTTTCTAAACGCTAAGACCCTTCACAACCGTGAGGTGTGCAATCTCAGGGAACATTTCCTGAAAGTGGACGAGGATATGCATCGAGAAGTAGTCACAGTGGACAAGGGATTCACACCACTATCCTTGGCTAAAGAGAACTGGTGCAAACCCGTAGTACTGAGCGTCAATGACCGCAAGGCGGTATGGAGTAGCAAGGAGCTCCACGGACGCTTCTTTCGGGCTCTCCACGGGCCCGATATAGATTTTCTAGCGTCGGTAGCTTGGCTACGATTCAGTAACCTCTTCGGAGAAACTGAAGGATTTGTATGTGCAATTATGGACGAAGTTATCCTCACGAATAACTACCGTAAATATATTATGAAGGATGGGACGGTTGACATATGTCGGGCATGTCATAGCTCCGGTGAATCCATCAGACATATTATTTCCGGCTGTGGTCGTTTGGCTAATGGCGAATACTTGCACAGACATAATCAGGTGGCCAAGATTATCCATAAGCAACTTGCTTTGAAATACCGGCTTGTTGAGTCTGAGGTCCCGTACTACAAGTATGTGCCCGACCCAGTTCTCGAAAAAGACCATATCACATTGTACTGGGATCGGTCTATCATCACAGACAGGACTATTGTAGCCAATAAGCCTGACATTGTGGTGGTAGACCGACTAGCGCGTCGCACGACGATAATCGATGTTGCCATTCCTCATGACGAGAACCTCGTGAAAGCTGAGAAAGATAAACAATTGAAATATCTTGACTTAGCTCACGAGGTTGTTGACATGTGGAATGTGGACTCGGCCATCGTTGTGCCGATAGTTGTGTCGGCAAACGGGTTAGTCCCCAAAAGCCTCGACAACCACCTTAAGAGGCTGACGTTAGGCGGATGGATCAAGGGCCTCATACAGAAGGCAGTCCTCCTTGAAACGGCACGTATTGTGAGGAGGTTCTTGTCTCTGGAGCCCTAACCGCCGGCAGCTTGGACCTTGCTCCCGCTGCCAGCTGGCTCCTACTTTTATATTTTTAAATATTATTTTATTTTATAGTAATATTTAAAAATGTAATTTTAGAGCGATTTTAATAAATATATGTAAATAAATTTTTAATCTCTTTTTCTAAGCAATGAAATTATTAAAAAGGTCATAATTTATTATTTTATTTGACGATGAGCGACACAGTGCATGTGATATGCAATATTGTTTTTGCGGCGACCTGGGAATAGAACCCAACACCTAATTAGTCGCTCAGCGGGCAAATGAGTCGACCGTGTTGCCGCAGTAAGAAGAGAGTGAGTAGCAGTATTCGCGCAACGCCGCTCATGAATAAGAGCCCCAAGCGTAACTCGAAACTAGTCGAGCTTACCGTGAAATACTTTCGCGATAAAAATAAAACACAAGATTTCTATAAAACAATATATTTTATTACATTACATACTAAATTCCAAATGATGAGTTTTCAAGTGTCCTTTTAAACTACATTTCTGTACGAACGCCTGCCCACACACCGCGCACGCAAACCTGCGATCATTATTATGAATCCTCATATGTTCTTTCAGCGTTTTCTTTCTAGCATAAGACTTTTTACAGACAGAACATTCAAATATCCTTTCCCCATTATGTTTAACCATGTGAACTCTCAACTCATTCTTCGTAAAACACTTATAAGAACACATTTCACATTGATAATCTCTTTCTTCCAAATGGTCTCTTTTCATGTGCCTTGATAGAGTGTATCGCCGATCGAAATTTTTGTCACAGACATTACACTTATACTGTAAGGGCGCTACACCGTGTACTTGAACTAAGTGCTTTTGCCTTCTGAAGTATTCAGCGAAACGTTCCGAACATTTCGTGCATTTGAACCTCTTTAACAGCTTATGGACTGTGTTCACATGGTTTTTATACTTCTGTTGCGTCGAAAACACTTTACCGCAAACTTCACAAGGATAATTCCCACCCGCGTGCATACTTTTCGTATGAACTTTTAGCCTGTATTTAGTTACAAAACCCGTCCCACATTCTTTGCAGACGTAATTTCTGTAATGTACATTCATATGCCTTTCAATTGAGCCAAAAGTTTCAAAATTAAAGCCGCATACTTGGCATTCGTGTACACCTGAATCGGAGAGTTTGAATGGTATAACTCTATCAGTGAATTCTGGATACAGTTTCTTTTTATGTACATTAGTTAAGTGGGATTTTAAACTGTTGAGATTCTGGATAGATTTGTCGCATAATGTGCACTTTAGATCCGTCGTATCTACGTAAACGACTAAGCATTCTGCGCCATAAGTTTTGAGTATGTGTCGAATTTCTGTTTTCTTGTGCTGGGTTGTGTGTTCGCGAAGTTTTTCTAGTTTTTCGAACACGTTCCTACAGTAAAAGCAAGGGAAGCCTAGCCGGCTTTTGCTTTTGAATGGGGTGACGTTGGAACATTCGAGAATGGTGCCCGCGTTTGTTATGTGTGCTAATTTCTCTGATATAAAGACTTTTCTAGAAGTTGTGCGCTTACTATCTTGTTCTTCTATTAACCGCATAAGGTCTTTTGGTACAATTTTTAAATCTGTAATGATAAACAAATAATAGTCTTAGGGCTTTCACTGCATTGTAAGTAGGTATTATGGGTGGACATTTGAGAATATCTAGATTTTTTTAAAGGGAACAAAAATCTAGAGATCCTCTGTTTTCTTTCCTGCTCTACATACAAGGAGATTCAGACTCTTACAGACTATAAACCACCCCATTCCTTCTCCTGTTCCAAGCCGAGGCCGCGGTGCCTTTTCGCGCTTGCAACCGCAACCCTGCCATAATATCTAGACTTTGATGCCCGTTCCAGACATATAACTATAATAATTAGGTTTTTTTATAGTATAGATCGGCATACGAGCAGACGGATTATCTGAAAATCGACGCCTGGAATTACGAATGCGTTGCAGGTCTTTTGGGAAAAGGGTTTCGGATGATAAGGATTGGGAAGTGATCATCCAGAGATCATGAGAGGTATTGGGCCTCTACATAAGGCTGTGGTTGTTTTTATTCGGTATTTGTCTGTCTGTTTTCTCTTCCTCAAAAACTATTGAAACATGTTTCATGAGGTTTCCACCAGAGCAGGCATAAAATATTGTATCTTAACTTAATCCTAGTTCCCCCGAACATTCTCAGAAATGTATCCGATAAAACTTTTTCTATTGCTACATAAACTAACATTCAGTGGTTGATATTAAAAAAAATATATTTAGACTAACTTGTTTTGTATGGGACTCGTTAATTTATTTTCCTATTCCTATTGTTAACACTTCTCTGCATCACCCTTGAGGTTGACTGGTAGAGAATGCCTTCGGGCATTAAGTCCGCCTTTGTATTTTTAAGTACATAAAGTGTTAAATAAATAAATATTTCTTTCTTGTGGGATAGCGGGAAACGAGCCGACATGCCTATGAATACCCCCAATACAAGAGTGTTTAGCAAAATTATTTTTATTTATATATATTGTGTTCACTAGTTATATCCAACCTCAATATTACATCAGCAGGGTGTTGAGGACAGAAACATCCGAAAGCAATTACGGTATATTAGCGACTGGTTACAATAACACATCAACTTCGGACGCAGCCGCACCGCTGTCCAATCACACATACAAAATAAAATGTATGCATAGTGCAATGTGGGGAGTTAGGGGCCATCCATAAATTACTCGTTCGTCACATTAATTTCATGATTTTATTAACTCGTCAACAAAAAAAACAATCCTTAAACCGTGTTTTCCTAAAGATAGAGTCGATTTTTTTTTTAAATTTGAATTCACAAAGTTTAGGTCACCCACCCCTTGTCGCACATGTCACACTTTGTTGACCAACCCCCGCCACCTCCATTTCCGTGGGACGTACTTTATTGGTGTCTGAAAATGATAAACCTGTTGCTCTGTCTAAGGCGTATACAGCTCTGATTAACATTACGCATTCAAACCAAAGTGCCTACATTGATGGTATGTTGGCTTTTAGCTCGGCTTGCACACTGTACTAGCCTATAAGTAGTTCAAAACTGCGTTTCAGTCCTTTTGTGAGTAAGAGATTTCGAAAATGTGGTCGTGATCGGCCAAAAGTTAAGACTAGCTTTTCATCAATTATTTGTGGGTCGAAACCTAACAGCCTGGACAAGGCGGTACTGAGCCCAAACAGGGCACACCGCCATCGTATGCTCCACTGTCACAATGGCGATACACGGGCGTTTTTTCCCGCCGAACTCTAAACAGGTAAGTTTCAGGCGCTTAGGACGCCATGTCGTCTTTCTAAACACTCCTCAAAGAGGGGTCTTACCGCTCCATCGTGAGTAAACCTGAAGTTATAATTTCTAATTATAAGTTTAAAATCACTGATCCGCCTTCAGCAAGCGTAGTGATTAATGCTATTAAAACCTGTTCTTTTTCGGAAGAGGCCTTTCTCAATAGTGTGGGCACTTATGAGCTGATGATGTGATTTAGAAATGGGAGACAGGGAAGTGGAATACGGCCTTTGGTATTTGTACCATCATTTACGCGTCATCAAGTAAGACCGCGCTTCCTGCAAAAGTCAAAAGTTAGAAATTTCAATTAGATAATTCAATGCACTTTTGAAAGTCAAAAAAAATATAAGGTATAAGTTGTCAGTCTGTCGGTCAGCACGTCGATTCTATAAAATTTGTTTGATTTTGAATCGTGTTCGAGTGCGAAATGAGCGTCGAAATGACGGGGAAATTAAATTTTAAAATGCCACTTTTAACGTCATCTCATACTATAACTATCAAAATGTTGCTGTCAATTTAGTTCAACTCGCAAGTGTAGCGCTAGTGTACTACTACTCACAGCGGATTTGATTCGAAGTTTAGAATGAAGTCTTACAGAATCACACTGCAGTCCTCTTTAGTGAAGCTGAAAGTGTAGATTCTACAGAGGCATTTTTATACAGATGTACCTTAGCTTAGCAATTACGTAACTATTTTCTATGTGATATGTCGGCAAACGAACATACGATTACCTGATGGTAAGCAATCGGCGCCGCCCATACACATCCGCAACACCAAAAGAGTTACGAATGCGGTGTTGGCCTTTTGGAAATTTAGGTTTTTGGAGATTTAGGAAGGGAAATGTTGGGTAACCAGTAACCTCACTCGCACGGCGAAACACAACGTGATTATTTCACGCTGGTTTTGTGTGAGGGTGTGATATCACTCCAGTTGAGCCGAGTCATTCGTGCCGAAGCATGGCTCCCACATTAAAATGTATGTAAAGTGTGTTATGTATATTTTTATATATATGTTTGGTATATTCAATTGAATTTCCTTGCTTCTGCACCTGCCACTAGATTATCTCTGCATCACCCAAAGGTAGACTGGTAGAGAATGCTCATTGCATTAAGTCCGCCTATGTACAATGTTTTGGGCATGAAGTCTCAAATAAATAAATAAAAGACTCATCGAATCTTAATCTTTCAGTTTTTATTTTTATCAGCCGTTATAGTCCCACTGCAGGGCAAAGGCCTCCCTACCCTTCTTCCACTCCTCTCTACGCAAAGCTTTCTGCGGCCAATCCTCGTCGAAGACATCAAGTTCGTCCCGCTATCTCCTTCTGGGCCTGCCTAGGTGTCTGTTAGCGTTGTGTGGGCTCCATTCGGTAATAAATTTTGCCCACCGCTCGTTTGACATGCGGCAAATATGTCCAGCCCAGTTTAGGTCTGCGGCTTTCTGACCAATGTCAGCGATTTGAATTTTGCAGCGCAGTACGGTAGGTACCTATTTTTTTAGACTTTCAGAGTTATAGAAATATTTCGAAGAATAATTTACAATGCTTCTTTGTACCATATCATTTTATGGTTTATGTGGTAGGGATGTGTTTTACCGGTAAAATAAACCGTAACTTATTGTGACAGAAACTAAACGTTGTTGATTAGTACGTCTGCTTTATACTAGATGGCAGAGTTCACAAGTTCACAAAATCAGTTTACAAAATTGGAAATTTTCCTCAGTTAATAATAATTTTTAATCTCTTTTTCTAAGCAATGAAATTATTAAAAAGGTCATAATTTATTATTTTATTTGACGATGAGCGACACAGTGCATGTGATATGCAATATTGTTTTTGCGGCGACCTGGGAATAGAACCCAACACCTAATTAGTCGCTCAGCGGGCAAATGAGTCGACCGTGTTGCCGCAGTAAGAAGAGAGTGAGTAGCAGTATTCGCGCAACGCCGCTCATGAATAAGAGCCCCAAGCGTAACTCGAAACTAGTCGAGCTTACCGTGAAATACTTTCGCGATAAAAATAAAACACAAGATTTCTATAAAACAATATATTTTATTACATTACATACTAAATTCCAAATGATGAGTTTTCAAGTGTCCTTTTAAACTACATTTCTGTACGAACGCCTGCCCACACACCGCGCACGCAAACCTGCGATCATTATTATGAATCCTCATATGTTCTTTCAGCGTTTTCTTTCTAGCATAAGACTTTTTACAGACAGAACATTCAAATATCCTTTCCCCATTATGTTTAACCATGTGAACTCTCAACTCATTCTTCGTAAAACACTTATAAGAACACATTTCACATTGATAATCTCTTTCTTCCAAATGGTCTCTTTTCATGTGCCTTGATAGAGTGTATCGCCGATCGAAATTTTTGTCACAGACATTACACTTATACTGTAAGGGCGCTACACCGTGTACTTGAACTAAGTGCTTTTGCCTTCTGAAGTATTCAGCGAAACGTTCCGAACATTTCGTGCATTTGAACCTCTTTAACAGCTTATGGACTGTGTTCACATGGTTTTTATACTTCTGTTGCGTCGAAAACACTTTACCGCAAACTTCACAAGGATAATTCCCACCCGCGTGCATACTTTTCGTATGAACTTTTAGCCTGTATTTAGTTACAAAACCCGTCCCACATTCTTTGCAGACGTAATTTCTGTAATGTACATTCATATGCCTTTCAATTGAGCCAAAAGTTTCAAAATTAAAGCCGCATACTTGGCATTCGTGTACACCTGAATCGGAGAGTTTGAATGGTATAACTCTATCAGTGAATTCTGGATACAGTTTCTTTTTATGTACATTAGTTAAGTGGGATTTTAAACTGTTGAGATTCTGGATAGGTTTGTCACATAATGTGCACTTCAGATCCGTCGTATCTACGTAAACGACTAAGCATTCTGCGCCATAAGTTTTGAGTATGTGTCGAATTTCTGTTTTCTTGTGCTGGGTTGTGTGTTCGCGAAGTTTTTCTAGTTTTTCGAACACGTTCCTACAGTAAAAGCAAGGGAAGCCTAGCCGGCTTTTGCTTTTGAATGGGGTGACGTTGGAACATTCGAGAATGGTGCCCGCGTTTGTTATGTGTGCTAATTTCTCTGAAATAAAGACTTTTCTAGAAGTTGTGCGCTTACTGTCTTGTTCTTCTATTAACCGCATTAAGTCTTTTGGTACAATTTTTAAATCTGAAATAATAAATAAATAATATTAATCTGAGGGCTTTCACTGCATTGTAAGTAGGTATTATGGGTGGAGATTTGAGAATGTCTAGATTTTTTTAAAGGGAACAAAAATCTAGAGATCCTCTGTTTTCTTTCCTGCTCTACCTACAAGGAGATTCAGACTCTTACAGACTATAAACCACCCCATTCCTTCTCCTGTTCCAAGCCGAGGCCGCAGTACCTTATCGCATTTGCAACCACGACCCTGACATAAATATCTAGACTACGTCTCCCGTTCCAGACATATAACTATAATAATTCGGTTTTTTATAGTATAATTAGGTAGATACGAGCAGACGGATTATCTGATGATAAGCAATCGACGCCGCCCATGGACACCCGCAACACCAATGGAGTTACAAGTGCGTTGCAGGTCTTTTGGGAAAAGGATTTTGGATATTTAAGGATTGGGGAAAGGGGGAGTTTTTTTTAAACGAACAGACGGGTTACCTGATGGTAAGCAATCAGCGCCGTCCATGGACACCCGCAACGGAGGAGTTACGAGTGCGTTGCCGACCTTTTTGGGATGAGGGATTTGGAGATTTAGGGATTGGGGGCGGGGAAGGATTGGGCCTCCGGTAACCTAACTCACGCGGCGAAACACAACGTTGTGGTTGTTTCACGCCGGTCTTCTCTGAGGCCGTGGTATCACTCCGGTCGTGCCGAAGTATAGCTCTCCCACACTTAAACGTGAGTGATTAGCGAAACAACGCTGTGGTTATTTTGATTTGGTCTGTTTTCTCTAACTCAAAAACTATTGAAAGATGTTTAATGAGGTTTTCACTAGAGTTTAAACATTCTCGTCAAATATTGTATTTTAAAATATTAAAAAATTTATACAACTTACTCTGTAACAAATCCAGTTGCCGGCAGTATTCAGGACATATCTTCGACAACGTCTGTCGCGTCGGAAGCGGCGGCAGCTTGACGCGAGCGAACCTGCCCAGTAGCGCCGCTTCCCGGTCTACTAGCGTCTCTTCCTGGGTATCCGAGCCAGTGTCTGAAAGAACTTTATGACATAATCTATATGTATGAAAATGAATTGCGAAATGTGTTGGTTTTTTTTTTTTGTTGGGAAGCGCATAACTCAATAACGCCTGGACCAATTTTTCACAACTCTGTTATAAACTGTTATTTTCATTAAGTTTATGCTTCGTACAGACCGGCCAAACGAACGCCAATGAACCGGTTTCGTTGACCTTCGTTGCTGCAATCTGGACGGCTTATAGACGTAAAACTCGTCAAGTCCAATATAAGCAGTGTTAAGAAAATAATATTGTGTTTAACACGAATATATTAAATACTAGCTTTTGCCCGCGACTCCGTTCGCGTGAAATAGTGACTTCCTGCAGATTTTTGGTATCAAAACTAGCCTATGTCCTTTCTCGAGTTCCATGTCTGTACCAAATTTCACAGAAATCGGTTCAGAAGTTTAGGCGTGAACAGACAGACAGAGTCGCATTTATAATGTTCTCTGTTCTGTTCTTTTTTTTGCAATATCGTTAATTAATATATTCAATTAAATACCTCAGGGCCTACCATGACATGTCAAACCGTCATTGTGAACAATAGGATTCGCCCAGGGCCAAGGATTAACAAGTGTATTGCCGGGTTTTTTAGGTCATTGCGTCCTATCAGAGGATTGGGGATTTGGCATTCAAGGGATCTAGTTATGAACCTTTTGGGGTCCTCTTCTCTTGGGGTATACTTCTCTCGCTTCTCTCATTAGGTAGGTAAAGGGAGCCTCCCTCTAGTCAGTAGACTAAATCCCCCGTTCCTTCTCCTACTCCAGGCTGAGGCTGCGATATCTTATTGCGCTTGACCCGCAAACTCGGCTAAATATCAGCTCTGCAGGGTCTGTGTTAGTCTATTGAAACTTTAAGGTGCACGAAGAACGCTACGCGCGGCACACTCGGGTCCCTTCTGGGTACTAAAATCCTTGAAGAAACAGAAAAAGAAAAGACAAAACGACTTACCATCAGGTACATAATCGGAATCATATCCGTCTGTCTCCCGTTCATCATCCGGTTCCAGTTCCTCCTTCACATATTCAGTTTCCTTCTCTAGTTTAATTTCCATTGCTGGTTCAGATTCAGTATCTTCTACATGGACTGGAATGTACAAGCAAATAATTATTTTACAAATAATTACTATTATTATTATTATATAAAACTAGCTACTATCGAGAGCTTTCACCCGCTAGGTACTCGGCTCCATTTGATGGTAGCGTGATGTCACATAGCCTATAGCACTCAGGAATATTATAGCTATCTATCAGTGAAAGAATTTTGGAAATCCGACCAGCGGTTCTAAAGATACATACCCCCTACATACAGGTTTTTTGGTTGTTTGCAACTTACAAATTACAAATTTTGCCTCTTTATAATTTTAGTATAGTTTTATCATAAAAAACATATTCAAATTACGAGCAATCATTAACAAAAGAGCAGGCTTAGCTATAATATATGCATAGCAGAAGAAATAAGAAATGGGCTGGCATTTAGTCAATAAGAGTCTGGCATAGTTATTTTAACAATATTTAACTGAAATAAAATGTCGAATTATTTTTTCCTAAGGCAACTTTAGTTTAAAAGTAACATTAAAGTACCAATTTTTTTATGTAATTAATTAATTTGGCCTTTGGTAACCTTACTAACACGGCGAAACACAACACTGTGGTTGTTTCACGCCGGTTTTCTGTGAGGCCGTGGTATCACTCCGGTCGAGTCACCCCAATTAAAATATATTAATTTATATACAAAAAAATACCATTGACAAAAACTGTATCTTTATCCTCTCCTTCCACCGCTTGGAGCAGCTGTCTCTCTGTGCTAACCACCATCATACGGAAGCTTGTCGCATCTCGGAGACGTTGCACACATGTGGTGCATATTAGGGTAGACAGTAGAGCATTTGTTGATAGCTGTAACAGAGAGAGATATGCTATTAAACTACAATCTATTTATCCATATTGTCAAGCAGAGACTTTTGAAAAGCCTAAAAGGTTGATCCAATATAGGGAAGGCTTCTAGACTTGTAGTAGACTGTATGCACTGTAAGCTATTACTATATTATTAGATTTTTAGTGCCATTTTTTTATTATGGAAATACATCAAGCACAAAGTTTTCACTAACCTGTGTTAAGTTTATTACTGTACATTTTTAAATATTTGTGTTAGATAGGTACAGAGAATTTATAATGGCATCCAAACCAGTTAGTATTATTATATCGTGTACAAAATCAAATATGTGTAATGGAATATCATCAATATTTTAGACTTTTCAGGGTTTAACAAATACAGCTAACTAGCTTGTCTGTTAATTAGTTTCCTAGTTAAGCTCTCTCTTATTCCTATGAGAAGATTCCTAATAAGAACAATGCCTTGCGGAAATCAAGCAAGAAACTCCATGGTAAGGCTAACAGACGAAAAATTTAGATAAGTGAACAACAATAAACAAAACTACTGCACTAATACAAACGTTATTTTAACTCAGTATTACGAGGCATATAATAACGAAAACATATTACAAATCTAATAATTATCTTCCTAAATATATAAATAACAGAATAAAACACAAAACTTACGAATAAATTGAAGCATTCCATAAATATATCGAAGTAAACCTCGCGTATGCCATTAAAGTAATATTCTTTCATTATATCTCTGTGGTTTCCTTTTGCTGAGCAACAGCGGCATTCGCCATACGTCGTATTACCCTTCCTGGTCTCCATTATACACTATTTTATTCAATTTTTATAGAAATAAATAAAGAAACATGATTAATATTGAGATTTACCGTCGTACGTACTCCGTTGTCGTGAATCGAAACGATTGCAAATCATGGTATAATAATCTGTCAAAATTGTTTATTAGATGTTTAGTCTTACTCGTCAGCGATAAGGTTGAAAGTTTATTGAAGTTATTTGACAGCTTTGGGTATCTTAACGTGCTGGCGTCTTTAAAGCTTTGTTGACGTTTCTCAAGTAGAAACTAGTGATGTTCATAGTGGAAAAGAAAAAGATTAAAAGCAATGACGTATGTTTTATACATCATTGATTAAAAGATACGGTTTTAATAATGTAACAATAATTGTTTATTTTTGTTCAAATGAAACCCAATTGTTTTTCAAGCTATCTGAGCTGCAAGCAATTAACTAGTGAAAATTAACCGGATGCAAGCATTTTTAGTTGTTTCAACTGCCTGTCTGTCTACAAATATTCCAAATCCAATCTTTACTGTCATATCTCGTCGAAAGCTTTCTCATGCGCAACTGTACTCATTGAATACTAAAGATAGAACTTATAGGGATGGCCAAATAGTTTTTACAGTATTAATTTTCTATTAATAAGAACTTATTTAAACATAAACGGATCATGTAACTGTCTTATAGTTCACATTACTTTTACTTATTTGCTTGTTTGCTTGCTGTAGTTGTTGATTAATAATGCAGGAATGTAATAAATAAATATAAAAGAACTCCATTTTACTATAAAATAATTTAATTATAGTACCTAAATGAAATGATTCTTAATCATTTTTTTATTTAAGCCTAAAAGCACTTACAAAGTATACAAACAAAAACAAATAAAAATATTTAAATCTACCTTTCAACCAAAAAAAAGTAAATTCAAATAAAGAACATTATAAAGACATAGACATTTAAGAATTACTTTTTAAGCAACATATCAACATAGGCACAGTCAATTAAGTCTTCTTCCTTAACTCCTAACTTAGTTCTAAGGTCATGAGCGATAGCCTGTCCCTCTTCCAAAGTCTGTTCTGGCCGGAGAACCACTTCCAGCTCCATAAAGTGGCCTAGATCTTGTACTGTGTCTATGTGTACCCGGGTTTGACCGACCATGTAGAGTTTACTGAAAATAAAAATGAAGTTGTTTAATTAGATTAAGGTTAGGTGCCCAGGTCTCGTGCATAAGGGTGCAGGTTCGAAACCTGGCAAGTAGCAATGTGACTTTTTCCGAGACACCACTGATACTGATAGATAATTTCTAATTGCAAGTTTGAAATCACCAATCTGCCTTGATCAAGCATGGTGAACTTCTCCATCTGAGAAGAGGCAGTCATAGGCTGATGATGGAGTATAGATGGTCATGGAACATAATATGGTTGGTTAGGATGTGGTTTTAAAACAAATACCACATCCTAATCCCTGAAAGGAGTAAGTAGAAGTGCATAAATCCTATGTAAGACTGTTTCAAAATCTCATGTATTATGGACTGGCCTTATGATCATGCGCCAAAACACTTTCCAACAGCTTACCAACTGTTAGATAAGGAACATTAATAGATTCAAGCCACGCTAGGGGAGCTAACTGATAGCTGTTAACTATCATTAAGCTGCGCCAGGTTCGCAGCGTCGTCTTGTGCTGCTCACGAATATGGAGCCCTTAACATGGCTTAAACTAGTCGAAGTTCCTCGCAAGGTTATAACGAGAGTATCTTACCGTTCTTTAACGACTCTACCACGGACACCCAAGCACTTCTTGAGCATTTCATCTAATAGTTTCGCCTTTTCGCTTTCATTTGCAGTAAAGTCTAATAATTCGTAATTACTAAGTTTTGGGCCTTCAATATCGTCTCGATCGTATCTCACTAGAGTAGCTGATGAATCGGCATAAATTCTCATCTTTAACCGACCTTCTTGGACATTGTAAAATGTATCATCTTGGTTTATTATTTTAGGCGGGCCGCCGCTCAACTCTTTTGCAACTTTACAAATGTTTTCGTAGTCAGTTATATTTGCTTTTATTTCTACGTTACGCATGGCTTCTTTGTTAATATCGACAGCAGATTTTGAATAGATTTTTATGATATTACAAGTACTTCGTGCACTTTTAAGATTGTGAAAAAGTCGTTGCACAAGTTCGCAAACAGCGGCTACCGTCTTGTCATAATAAAAATGACAATAATGTTACAATACAACTATGACATTGAACACCGACAACAAAGTCAGCTGTCTGTTCGTTCGTAAATGTCTGAACGTTTCTAATCTTTTAGTAATATTATTGTATTACATATAATTCTGAAGTATTTCGAGTTAACAGTTTTGTAAAAAATTTCACGCTGAAATCTCATTATGTGACTTAAACTGAATTCATTTTAATCAAATAAATATTCTCGTGGAACAACGTAAAACCAAGGTAATTTAATTACTGTGGTAAAACCAAGGGTAAAACGTTCTGAAAGTTTACTTTGCAAATGTCAAAATTGACAAACAAAACAAATCGTAATCAGTTTCATATTTTATTGGTTTTTAATGTATTATTTATAAATAAAAACGATGGATATTGATAATGTCGAGAGTTGGAGTTCGCAGCCTGATGTGTGTCGATGCTGTTTGTCTGCAAGCGGGACGTGGGATATCACAGCGTCTTATATCACGGAGGCCGGAAGCAAAGAAATCTTTTACGAAATGATACAAGAATGTTTTGGGATCTCGGTAGGCATTTTATATATGAAAATGAATGCGAAATAAATGCATAATTTACTCACCAATGCCACATATAAAGAATTCTTTCCATTACCTAAGTTTTCGTTGAGTATATGCCTTCGCCTGTATTGTACACAATATAGGCATATTAATATGTATTATATATTTTTTACTTAGATGTTTTAATATATTTTTTATTTTAAACTGTGTAGATAATAGCTATTCTGCCACACTTAATTATGGGCTTTTTCAGATTTAGTTCTATTTGAACCCTGAAATAATAAAAACCAATGATTCGAAAATTATTTATTGGGCAACAAGTGTAACAAATGTGGGGTACAAATTCGATTTATTTAGGTTGGGCACTGGATTGTTATTTAATTGATTTTTTTTCAGTAAAGGCCAGTAAAAGGAATGATGTGGTTTTTAATCAGCCTAACACTTCCTGACACTGACAGGGGCAAAAAAAACATGAAATGATTTGTGATGTGAATTAAAAAAATGTGATTAGTTTATTGTTATTTTTTCTAGATGTCATATCTCACAGAGTGGGGTCCCAGTAGGATGGTATGTGACCTCTGTGTGGGGCACTTGAGGGATGCATGTAGCTTCCGCAAGCAGGTTGAAGAGGCTGAGAGGCACTTTGTAACTTTTTGTAGCAGTAGAAAAGGTATGTTTTTGTGTACATTACCTCTCAAATTGTTTTTGTTTTGTTTATACACAAACAATTTCCAAACACAAACTCACATACAATTTATGGATCACACTAAGGTTTGTTGAACAGCACCTGGTTGCCCAGCTAGTTATATGGCAGTATAATATATAATCGAAATCAAATCAATACAAAATTAATTACCTACTATAATAAATTAGTAAAATACTTACTGCTTTTTCACAAAAACTGCCATGCTCTGTCATGGATTCTGATCCCCGCATGGAAGATTTATATGATCCACAAATTGTGTTAAAGGTTTTTTATTAATAAGTATATACAATAAAATTATTGGTGCTATTATGAGATTTAACCAAACATCTATACATTTCAGATATCTTCAACCCCGTTACAATAAAGACTGAGTCAGATGATGAGCCAGCAAGTCCAAATTGTGATGATAATATCGAGGATTTCAGTAAAGGTAGGATAACAATGAAAAAAAAATGCATCTCTTTGCTTAAACCAAAAATATGTCCTATAGGTTCCGACCACGGCTTTACCCGCGTGGTGGATAAAAAGTAGTATAGCCTATGTGTTAATCAGGGATATCACCTACCTACCATCCATGTCCATCTGTTTTTTTGTGAAAGAGAAACATACCGGGTGTAAAAAGAAACTTAACGAAGCCGAAAGCGACGTATTCTACCCATTATTTGGAACATTTTTTTCTTTAAGACCATAGCTGGGACTCCACGGGTTCTCAAGATATTGAAGGTCAAAGATGCATTTTTAATTTTTGTTTTTTTGCGCAATCGAATTCTAAGTATCACAAAACTTTTTTCCAAACAAACATTACCTGAATTTTCAATTTTTCTAAATAAATTACGCATTTGAATTTACGAACAGTAATGTACATAATAAATAAATGCAGACCCGCACAAAAAACATCGTGCATCTCAGTAGGATTTTTATTTTACAGAATTGTTTTGTTGTTGTGAAGTAAAACGTCGACCTACGTAGGTACTTATCACAGCGTTTTAATGCTAAGCTGTGAACCTACGCACACAATGAGACGAAGCCCGTTTGCTTTACATTGCGCGCAATTATTAAAAATTTTTTTGATACCTATAAATAAAAGTCGTTTTCCAGTGATAATTTTAGCGTAAAGCTATTTAGTTAGAACTGCAGTATGCGTAGTTAACGACTTCGTTAAGTGTCTTTTTACACCCTGTATGTCTATACTTACATTCTAATAAACTTTCACATTTATAATATGACTGCACGGTTGGCGCGGTGTCTGGGCAACTGGCTGCCGCGCAACGTGTCATGGTCTCGATTCCCGCACGGAACCACTCTTTGTGTGATCTACAAATTGTTGTTCCAGGTCTGAATGTGATTTGTATGTAAAATATGTGAAATTGTATGTTTGTAACGTAACGTGGGGCAACGTAAAAAAAAAATAACGTCCATTTAATAGTGGAGAAATTTGCACCCGCCTCGCAAAGGAGTTGGCGGACCGCGTGAGGGAGCCATCCTCTTCCTCACCCCCCAGCCGCCGCAGTAAGCGACATTCCGGGCGTCGGGGATCAAGATAATATATGATCTCCAGCCACCGTAAGCATAAGTCTGCGAACGGTGAATAAGAACGTACGTCGCGTCACGCGCACCTCAAAGAGCCAATAGACCATGTTTTTATAATAACTATCGTGAGACATACTAAATTACGCGACGTCGCCGCGTCCGCGCACGCTGCTCATGAGGAAGAACCCCTCTGTGGTTCGAAACTAGTAGAGCTTTCTCAACATTTACACGTGAGTAACCCGCGAATTTTAGTTAATTTAGCCAATAGACCACCATTGGGCCCTATAGGGCTGATGTTCAGCCGAGGTTGCGGGGTAAGCGCAATGTTGCACCGCGACCTCGACCCAGAGGAGGAGCAGGAACCGGGTGTTTTTAGTCAGTAAGAGTCTGACGCTCTCTCTCGCCTTACCCTGGGCGGGAGAAGTCATTTGATGATTTACCCCTGACAAAAAAAAGTATTGCACCCGTGCGAAGCCGTTGCGATTCGCTAGTTATTAAATATAGGAAGTTTTATACAATTTTTTTTACATTACAGAAGACAATAAAGAAGTTTTTAAAACAAATACAACAATTTTAGAAATAAAATCACACGAGCATGAACTTCAACCGAAAAGAAAGAGACAGAAAATGGCTTTGAAAGGTAAAAGAAAGAGAAAGGTGATAAGGAATGAAGATACAGATTCTGATACCCCTATAGCTGAGTTGTCGAAGAAAAATGTGCCAAAACTCGAAGTTGATATGGTTCAAAATGAAGTAGATGATTGTTCTAGAGTGAGTGAGATGGGAGATAATGAAAATTGTACAGTAAATGTTGGTATGTATTTTTAATAAATTTATTTTTAAGTGTGGGAGAGCCATGTTTGTCGGAGGCTCGTTACCGGAGGCCCAATCATTCCTCTCCCCCCCTATCCTCAATCCCCAAATGTCTATAAATCCCTAATAACCTTAATCCCTGATAATCTATACTTAAATCCCTAATAACCCACAAGGGGCCGGCAATGCACTTTTAGTAACTCCATTGGTATTACGAGTGTCCATGGGCGGCGCTGATTGCTTACCATCAGGTAATACGTCTGCTCGTTTACCGACCAATCCTAGAAACAAAAAGAGTGCATCTCTTTTTTTCAGTAAAGTGGTTGGAGTATATTCTGACGATGATTAAGTCCGTCACAAGTTTCTTATTTTATATAAATGGTTTTTTTTAGGTTTATTCCAAACGAAAACCCAGAATGAAGGAAAACAAATATCGGAAAGAAAACGAGTGATGCTTACATGTGACATTGTCCTCAGGGGCACAAACGCCTGCCCCTTCAGACACCACAAGAGCTGGTTCCAATGCTTCTTCTGCCAACAAGACTTTATGGAAATAAACCTCCTTAGAGACCACATGCTGCAAACCCACGCGGACATAGACGTTGAAATAAAAAAAATAAAACGTTACCCGCGCTCTTTGCAAATCGAAATTTCGAATCTCTTTTTTTTTTTTTTTTTTTTTTTCCGTTGTTGGCAACTGAGTCTCCAATACAATGTTGTCGACTATACTGCCAGTGTCGAGTGGTGACGGCAGAGTAATGTACCGTCGACTTTTAACTTTGTGGTAGTATTTACATGTTAGTAGCTGAAAAGGACAAAACATTTGGGTTAGTAAACATATATCATCTATAAACCTACAGTTACTATACTTACCTTACGCTTAATAGATAATTAGATATATATATATATATATAATAATTATAACACATACAATATTTACATTATTACACACCGCTACATTTTAATATTATTTTCATTCATAAATTTGGACAGACACTTAATTAATTTGTGGGAAAAATTAGTTAGAAGGGAGTGGAAGTTGATTGGGAGTGGGATTTGGATTTTGGGAAGGTTTCCATATAGGTCAAAGGACTGGGAATTAAGAGGGCATGAAAAAAATATATGGTCTAGGGTACCCTCATCAAGACCGCATTCGCACAGCGAGCTGTCACGTACGCGTATCTTGGCGAGGAATACCGGGCTAGTACAGTGGCCGAGTCTGAGTCTGCACAAAGACGAAACAGTGTGTTTGGGGAGTTTCTTGTGCTTGGAGAACCAAGGTTTCCGTTGGATATCGGTCTGGATACTTGCATAGTAAGCTCCTTTCCGCTTAGAGGAGTCCGCCCACACTGTAGCCCACGAGTCGAAGAGCTTGAGCTTAGTATCGGCACGTATGTCATACCCATACACAATATAGTGGTGACGTTCAACGTTATTCACGGCCGCAAACTTTGCCAATCTGTCAGCACACTCGTTACCGCATATACCAGAGTGGCCAGGAATCCATGCGATCTCAATATTTAGTCCGTCTCTTTGGCAGGATAAAAGCAGAGATTTTATTTCTATTATCAGACTACAATGCGTCCGGGAATATAGCTGATCTTGACCGAGCGCTTGTAGACTGCTTCGAGAATCTGAGAAGATCACTGAGTTGCTGAGGTTGTGCGATTTAATAAATTTGATGGACTCCAGAATGCCAACGCATTCCCCAGTGAACACGGAGGCTTCAGGGGGACATTTGGAGAGCAGAGCAATTCTTGAGTTCTGGAAATATGTTGCCACTCCTGTGCATCCGTCTCGGGATAATTTGGATGCATCCGTGTAAAACACATTCCAGCCGTGCCAGTAATTGCTCAGCGCGCGCTTAAAATCACCCTTGGCGTCCACTGATGACTTTGAAATGCCCAAACTCAGAACCAGCTTTGGCCTAAAGAGAATAACCTCATATGCGGAAGAGAAAACCGGAAGGATAGGGTATTGACTGATGGGTGCAGAGAGGTTTTTAAGCTCCCTATACCTAACAATCACGGGTGGGACAGGTTTATTGTTCCAATATGGAGAAGAATCATAGGAACAATGGATTTGTTCAAGGATAGGAAGTAGGGGATGAGAAGAGCGGGTCAGGACTTTAGAAACGAAACGGTCTGCCAGGTATTGTCTTCGAAGGTCGAGGGGGGGCTCTGCACATTCAACCTGAAGAGCGTTTATAGGGGAAGACTTCATAGCTCCAATAATTATTCTTAGGCATTTGGCCTGGATGGAATCTAGTTTTTTAAGTGCTTGCTTATTGCAGGGCGCCATAAGAAAACAGCAATAGTCCATCACACTTCTGACCAATGCATTGTATACGAGTTTCAGCGTGTAAGGGTGAGCACCCCACCATACCCCAGCTAGTGCTCTGAGTACACACACTGAACGCTCGCATCTTCTAACTACGGCTTCTATGTGATCTACCCCCGACATCCTAGAATCGAGGATGACGCCCAGGAACCTAGCCTTCCTCATAACTGGAATGGGCTGACCGTCTATCTCTATATGAATGTCCGGAAGGCGACGTCTGCGGGAAAAAATGACAGTTGAGCTTTTTGGGGCGCTTAAAGACAACCCATGATTGAGAAGCCATTGGTGTAATGAGGACAAAGAGACATTCATGGAGGTGGTAGCATCTGTTATAGAGCTGTTAGTGACCATTAATGCGATATCGTCAGCATACTGAAGGACTCTGCAATCATAATTTAGACAGGAAGGGAGGTCATAGGTATAGATATTAAACAGGATGGGACTAAGGACAGACCCCTGAGGTAAGCCCCTCCAGGATGTTCTCTGTAAAGGCTCATCCCCAGGAGTCCTCAATTGGAGGGTGCGGTTGGAAAGGATGCAGCCTATAATTTGGCAAATCCTACTTGGGATTCTCAGCTCTTGCAGCTTCTGCCTGAGAAGGGGTAGGAGGACCGAGTCATAGGCGGATGAGACGTCCAGAAAGACCGCCACCAACGACTCATCCCTGCTAAGGGCCAGTCGGATGGCTGAAGTGAGGGTGCCCACACTGTCAGCCGTACCCAGACCTTTCCCGAAGCCGAACTGAGTCGCCGGAAACAGCCCCCGGCCTTCCATCGACCATTCCAACCGGGTCTTTATAAGGTGTTCTAATATTTTTAGAAGTATGGACGATAGGGCAATAGGTCTGTAAGACGAATGGTCACCGGGATCCTTGCCAGCTTTCAACAGCGGCATAATAACCTGAACCTTCCAGATAGGAGGAATATAGCCGAAAGTAAAACAGAAGTTGACTAAGTCAAGGTAGTATTGCTTTGTTTTGGCTCCTGCTTTCACCAAAAAGGAGTAAGGGAACCCATCAATCCCTGGAGCGGAGTCTCTTACGTGGTTAAGAACCATTTGGAGCTCATCCATGGAGAAATTCCTATCAAGCGGGTCACGCGATTCTTCACAGTGTCCCACGCAGCATTCCTCCTCGCCAGGAACGTACAGAGGGGCAATGCTAGTAAGGAAACTGTGACTCAGACCGTCAGGCAGGATAGAAATAGAAGTAGGCTTTATAGAATTTCTGAAGCTCTTCACCCTCCGCCAAACTGTTGTTATCGGTGTTGATGGGCTCAGGGAACTACAGAATCTCTGCCACCCCTGCCTCTTCTTCTTTTTAAAAAGTTTCCTTGACTTAGCCAACACCTGCTTGAAATTAAGGAGATTTTCCAGGCTCATGTCTCGGTTATATGCCTTTTCGGCCTCATTCCTGGCTCTAATCATGGCAGTGCATTCACTATCCCACCAGGGAGGGGAAGGGATTTTGCCTTTTGGTGTGTTTTTCACAGGGAAGCAATCTTCAGCTGTAGAAGATATCAGCTCTGAAAACTTTGAAAAACACTCCAAAGGATTCTCAATATCAACACGTGGGAGGGAAGAAATGCGGATATCTAACAATTTAGAGTACAGGTCCCAATCTGCTTTTTCTAATCGATATTTTAAGAGAGGGGGGAGGGATTTATCGGGGACAGATTTAGAGAGGTGTTTGATTATTATGGGATAGTGATCACTACCATAGGTCATATTCAAACAGCTCCAATTCAACATGCTTGCCATATTGGGTGAGCAGAAGGTTAAGTCTACACAACTGCTTCTTTGCCCAAATTCAGACCTACGGGTTGGGCTGCCGTCATTAATGGCACATAGGTTAAGCTCATCTATCATTTCTACAAACTCGCTACCTATGTTGTCGCAGGTATCGGAACCCCATCTATAATGGTGACAATTGAAGTCACCCATTACAAGTAATGGGCCACTAACTGACATAAGTAAATTTTTAATTATGGCCAAATGGTTAATATTAGGGTGCGCAATATAAAACATAAAAATATTTATATCCTCAGCCTTAACAGCGACAACATTTATGTCGTCGCCAACGAAGGGTAGAGGGATCTGGGTGAAGGGTACTTTGTTACTTACTAACAAAGCACATCCTCCATAACCATCAGATCTGTCATGTCTGACAACACTGAAACATGGGATCCCGAAATTAATATTCGGTTGGAGCCATGTCTCAGCAAGTCCACAAATCGATGGTTGGAATTTGTTAATAAGGTGTAGCAAGTCACTCTTCCTGGGAAGAGTACTCCTCACGTTCCACTGGAGAATTGTAAGTGGATGGAATTTTATAAATGTAATCTACGATGGTGGCTAATCTATGGGCAACGTGGTCAGGTACGGTGTGGGCAGGGTTGGATAACACTGCCATGAGCATGCTGGAAATTATGTCTAAAATGTTTTTAGAGCTATGGGTTCCGGATTCCATAGGGAAAGCGCAACCATTCTGAGATGGGGAAAAGGAGTAGTTATGGATAAGGGCCTGATGGGCCTTCTTATCATAACTGGGAGAAAGAGGAGCATGGGATTTGGGTTTGACCAAGACAGTTTTTTTATAAGATAGTCTCTGCGGGGGTGATTTTTTGGTTGGTGTGGATTGGATGTAATTGGTGGATTTGGGTTTAGATACCTCGGCATATGACTTTTTAACTGAGGGAAATACCTGGCTTGCTTCCGCATAGGAGATTGCCTTTTCTGCCATTAAGGCTTTAATGCTCTTTTGGCGACCTAACTCAGGGCAAGCATTATAAGTAGCAAAATGGTTGCCACTGCAATTAATGCAATGAGCAACTTCTTCAGTTACTACACATCCATCACCAGGATGATCCTGACCACATCTAAAGCAACGCGGCTTGGAGCGGCATAGCGTACGGGTGTGCCCGAAACGACAACAGTTGAAACACTGTATTGTAGGGTATGTATATTGTTCTACGGGGAGTGCCGAGTAAAAACAAAAAACTTTCTTTGGAAGAATTTGCCCATCAAAAGTGAGAACCACAGTTTGGGTAGGCTTCCATTCCGTACCATTTTCTGATGACACTTTACGGTTCATCCTTCTTGCTTTTATAGGAATACCACATCCAGCGGGAACTTTGATGTTTCTAATTATTTCATCCTCTGTCCACTCAATGGGAACATCCCTCACAATACCCATTCTTGTGATGTTGTATTGAGGGATTGAGGTGACATAACTTTGTGCTACCACACAGTTAACCAGGAAACTGTTAGCATCTTGGTGAGAGACAAACTCGACCGACACTCTATTCCTACCGAGTCGCTTCACTCCTCCAATTTTAATATTATTTATGTTATTTTTTGTCAGGAACATACCGAATTTAATTGGATGGAGGGTAGTGCCAGTCGTCTCGGAGTCCTTAAGAGAAACATGAATGATATAAGGGGGGTTGTCCTTAGCCGTATAGCACTGCCTACCATTGATGTTTTTTGCTAACTTCGGAGGGTTGACGCGGGAGATAATGGGGGAGCCTGCAGGTCGTTTTCTATTAAGGTTAGATTCGGAGTCCATTAAGTCATTATCCTGGTTGTCGTGGGGAAGGGAAACACATAAAACGGGATTATCATCCGATTTGTCGGGAGGATCAGGGGGCTTCTCCTCGTCCATTGTTAAAAAAATAGAAAAGGTGGGAAGAGAGAACAAGTGTTAAAACTTAAGACTACACAATACCTTATTAAAACTTACACACACAATTAAACAACACACAAAATAAAACGTTTCAATTTAGATCACTATGAATAAGATCACTAAAATTGACAACAATCGTAGCACCGATAAAAGCACGTGCGTAACCTTCACCACTACCAACGAAAGTCCATAGAGCCAATTTCGAATCTCGAATGCCGCCAATGTCATTTGAGTTTGACAGATGTCATTTCGATGTGCCGCCATTTTGTCGACGTCCATAAGAAGGTTATATACAACGAGTGCATAGCCGATTATAAAGTTAACGGCAGCCCGTATTCATGTCATTTGTGCGGGCAACAGTTTCACGTTTTCAGAACTTTGACCACGCATCTGAACGAGCATTACGCGAACTGCATATGCGATGTTTGCGGCAAATCATTTCTAAACTCAAAAAGATTAAAAGTACACAAACGTACGCACGAAAACGGCGACTTTCCTTGCACGGAATGCGGGAAAGTATTAAAAACGAAAACTTCAAAAGCTAATCATATGGAAAGCGCGCATTCTAATCGCATTATTAAGTGTCAGATATGTTTAAAACCAATGAAACACTACAATGATAGAATAAAGCATATGTCTGAAGAGCATAATATTACACATAAGTTCAAATGCCATATTTGTAGTCGGGAATATAATATAAAACATTATTTAGCAACGCATATACGTCAAACTCATGGGCAAAAGGACAAAACTTGTCCGGAATGTGGCATGGCGTTTATAACGAACCATGGCTTGAAGAAACACATGTTAAAACATAGCGGGGTCAAGCCATATAGCTGCACTGTATGTTGCAAGTCTTATGCAAGAAGTTACACCCTTAGAGAACATATGAGAGCTCATGGTACTGATAAAGTTTGTTAAGTGTGGGAGAGTCGTGCTTCGGCACGAATGGGTCGGCTCGATCGTAGTAATACCACGGCCTCACAGAATACCGGTGTGAAACTACCACAGCGTTGTATTTCGTGTAAGTGTGCTCCCGGAGATTAGATCTCCATAAGGTCGGTAACGCAATCGTAACTCCTCAGTTGTTGCGGGTGTCCATGGGCGGCGCTGATTGTTTACCATTAGGAAATCCATCTGTTCGAATGCCGACCTACCACATTAAACAAAAAAAAAAAAAAATGTTTCGTAATTAACAGCTGGTATTTATAATTATTGATCTGATAAATCTCTGGATCGATCGAAATTTTGATTTTGTAATAGAAATGATGTTATAGATTGATCTCATTCTAAAGGTTATTTCAGCCGCTTATGTGCTAATAGTGACGATATGTTTTAAAACAATGATATTATAAGTAAAATAGTGTAGATAGGTTACCTATACAAAATTCGATTTTCAAAAACGACACACTGATCCACACATGAACAATTCGTATGTTTAGATGTCAAAGTGAGATGGCATGATTCAATAATCGCGAGTGAAAATAGACAAATATGAAAAAAGTGCGGCTAGTTAGCCACATTTTAATGTATCACATGCTGAGCGCTTGTTACCTATCTACACCTTTTTACTTATAATATCATTGTTTTTAAAAGTATCTTGTACTCTATACAATGGAGCAAAGAAAATTATCCTTAATTTTTTCTCTTGATTTAACCCGCCTATCATTATTAGTAGAATAGGACTTAATGCTACACTAACGCCATCTATGAAACGCAAAAACCTGATATAGAAGAAAAGTGTAAACAGATCTCTTTAGTTTTAAAATAAACATGTTTTAACAACATATTTTTGTGTTTTACTTCAGCCGTAATAGGTGCATGAGATACAATCTGGTCAGACAGACAGACAGACAGACAAAAGGACGAATGGATAGCGGAAACCTAATATAAAGATATCAACGTTTTTTTTAAAGATTTATTATTGGATTTGGTACTTTCTCTGGTTTGGTGATGAAATAAGGATGTAAAAAAAAATACGAAATATATTTTCATTATTTATGTATTCATAAAATATATTTTTAAATAAATTTATAAAATAACGGTAGCCATTGCCATTGGAAACAGTAACAACACTGTTACACTAGAACATTTTTGGATCACTATTATTATTATAAGTAAGTAAGTAATTAAAATACTATTGTAAATAAATTTACAATATTTAAATAAATTTATATAATAACATAACATACCGCGGGTTCATTCACTTAACCGCTCGACGAGGTAACCCGATTAGTTTCAAACCACCCTGGTGGCCTATAAACAGTTTCGAGCATATGGCATTGGGCTGCAGTCAAAAATCAGCGTTACATGGTAATACTTTTTAATATAACCACTGTGGTTATATCCTCTTTGATTGATGGTAAGCATCGGCGCCGCCCATGGACACCCGCAACATCAGAGGAGTTACGAGTGCGTTGCCGGCCTTTTGAGTAATAGGCTTTTGGAGATTTAGTTAGTTTGGGAAGTTTACCATTAGTTAGTTTGGGGAGAAATGAGAGGTGGGGAAGGATTGAACCTCCAATAACCTGACTTGGAGAAACACAACATTGTGGTTGGTTCATTGGTTCACAGCACACCGGTTTTCTTTGAAGTCAATAAATACTAAGTATTATATTATTTTCATAGATATCTAATAATAGGTAATATATCATATAATCACAGGAAATTGAGTTGCATTCTCAATACTGTCTAATAATATGTCAATGTCAGTTAAGTTAGGGTAGGAGGTAGGTATGATAGGACAGGGTAGGGTAGTAAATAAGTAAGCTAAGGGAAAAGCGGGAGCGAATCCGTGGACGAAAGTTAGTAACGACATAAAAAATAAATACCTATATTACATTATTATCTATATCCTTCTTCAGATTCTGTGTTCGTCTGGTCTCTATCTTCAATTTTAATCTCATCGCTCTTTAGTAAATGACTCCTGAAACAAACAGACATGTATTTGTACATTAATCATCATCATCATCATGAGTCTACAAGTGCCCACTGCTGAGCAAAGGCCTCTTCTCACACGGAGAAGGTTTGAGCATTAACGCGTGGTACATGGCACCTGGCGCACCCACGACACAGAAGAAAACTTTAATGTGGGTAAACGTTTTTTTAAATGAAAAAGAAAAAAGAAGTAAGTAGGCCGTACTGCCGTAGTATCATTCCAGTTCAACCGGCTCATCCGTGCCGAAGCATGACTCTGAAATGCTTACCATCAGGTCATCCGTCTACACTTCGGCTGTCCTATTCCGCAAGACATATTATGTACGGTAGTTTCCAACTAGTCAAATTCAATACTTTTATCCAAATGTCAAAAACTATACTTTTCTATGACATTTATTTTGTATGAAACTCCAAATTATGACGTCATAGTATTTTTCAAATTACTTTTTTCTTAAAAATTAGCTAAAAAATATCGAAAATTTTGTATATTGCTAGATCGATGTATAAAAGTATAGAGAGTAGTTTTTCAATACTTTATTGTATTGAAACGTGGATATAATTTATTTTTGACTTAGGAAACTACCTCATTAGGAGGATGAAGAGTGTTGGAGATGTGGTACTTACGATTTTGGGGTTATGCCTGGCATGGGTTTCTCTGGCTGTGAACATCGCTTGTCGTTTTCCGGTGACGGATCTCTGCAAGGAACAGGTATAGTGTATTTTTTTATGTAATAAGTCGGCAAACGGGCTGACGGATTACCAGATGGCAAGCAATCAGCGCCGCCCATGGACACCCGCAACGGAGGAGTTACGAGTGCGTTGCCGACTTTTTAGGGATTAAGGATTTGGAGATTTAGGGATTGGGGAAGGGTCCGGGAAGGGGAAGGATTGGACCTAAGTTAATCTCACTCACACGGCGAAACACAACGCTGTGGTTGTTTCACGCCGGTTTTCTGTGAGACCAATTGGCGCAGTGGCCTTTTAAAATGTTATCACTGATAGATAGCTACAATGTTCCCGAGTGCTTAATTATCCTTGATTTGCGTATTGCAGTCGAGCGTTAAATGCTGCTGTTTTTAAACCCCGGGATACATTAGGTTTATACGCGTGCTAAGCCGCGGGCAGAAGCTAGTATTCAATAAATGTGGCACTCACTGGTCTGATGGCGCATCTGATGAATCCTCAGAGCCGCTGGAGTGAACAGGATGCCGAAGATCCTCGATCAAAAGCTCGCTAGATGCAACAGACGCATAAAATATTCGAATTGATGCCGTAAAAAACAACTAGTCAAATTCAATACTTTAGTATTATTAAAATAGCAAAAAATATATCTATGAATATCGTATGAGATCGGAAAGTATGTCATCATATTAAGGAAATAGAAAAGTTATTTCTTAACAATATAGCTAGCAGAAATTAACTATTTCTATTTCTAATAGAAATATTTAATTTAAGTGATTATATCGATAAATCCATGAAAGGAATGATTGAAATTTACTTCATAATTACCTAATAAAAAAAGTTTACTTAGATATAATATAATAATAGCTTTTTGAACTATTATTATGTTCAAAATTATTAATTCTTGAATGAGGGTAGTTGTATAAAAAAATGGCGTTTAGAGTGACTGACAGATGTGACAGAATAGGTTGGTACTATAAATAGAATGTAAAAGGAAAAAAACAATAACTATTCAACGAATTTTTTATTAAAAAATGGATGAAAATAGTGGCAGAATGGATGAAAATAGTGACCGAGTCGATGACAATAGTGACTGATTCGACGAAAATAGTGGCTGAATGGATGAAAATAGTGACTGAATGGATGAAAATAGTGACTGAATGGATGAAAATAGTGACTGAATGGATGAAAATGGTTACTAAGTAGACGAAAATAATGAGTTGGTGAAAACAGTGAATAATTTTTGATAGATTGTGTGACTTCTGTAAAAGATTTAGGTATTTTGCAACGGCTTTGACTCCGCAGAAATAAAGTGAATAATAATAAGTTAATGTAAATTGAGTTTGCCAGTTGATCCCTGCCTGCTCATCCGTATGTATCAATATTGGTCAACCCTATAAATTTTTACCACATTTCGCAATAGTCCTCCATCAACCGGGGATTGTCCTTGGGTGCACTTTCATAGTGCATACAGGGATAATTGCCGGCTGATGTCCCATCACATTTAGATTAAAACTGTTCAACTTCGGTCCCTCGTACGCCTTCCAAAGGTCCGGGACCTTATGGTCCTGTGAAAGGAAAGAAGTTAATGTATAACTCACCTGTTCACATCATCCTGTGGTTCCGTCTTCACAAATACTATTTCTTTGGCTCTCGTCTCTTGCTGACTCTGTTGTTGTATACAGCATCTGCAGCTGGAGAACAAACATATTCAAATCAATATGCAAGTATATATTAATTAAAATCAAATCATTACTTACATATTATAAAACGAAGTCGCTTTCTCTGTCCCTATATCCCTATGTATGCCTTCATCTTTAAAACTACGCAACGGATTTTGATGCGGTTTTTTAATAGATGCATTGATTTAAGAGAATGGTTTATATGTATAATAACATCCATTAAATAGTGGAGAAATTTAGATTCAGAATTGCATCCGTGCGAAGTCGGGGCGTTAGTAAGTGTGGGAGAGACATGTTTCGACACGAATGCGCCAACTCGGCTGGAGTTACTGAGGTTTCCGGAGGTCCACCCCCACCCCGCCTCCAATTCTCTATCCTCATATGACCTATACCCAAAGTGTAATCGTTTGCCGAAAAAATAAAATAAATACTTACGTTCCAAGACATGCCTTTCCGGATTCCTTAATAACAAGCGTTGATTGTTCATCTTTAAGGGCTAGCGGATTTATCTCACTGTAAACAGAAAAAAAATATAGGTTATGATTAGTCTCCGTCGAATGAAGCACCGCGACCTCAGCCCAGAGCAGAAGAAGGAACGGGGGGTTTTTAGCCAGTAAGAGTCTGACATTCTCTCCCGCCCTGCCCTGAGCGGGAGAAGTCATTTGATGATTTTCCCCTCACAAAAATAGGTAAATTTTATGTAATTATTTTAAAATCAGCTCTTAATAAAATACTGAAATACTTGATCTCCATACCTACATTTCAACTTTTCGACTTGGCGACGCTGGCTTGCATACATGACGAATACATTTTGGTACAACTAAACTATCATTACAAGTAACTGAATATCGTTCATTCATTTTATTAAAACAGTCAGCATAATGCGAAATATTCTTGTCATTATTAGCTTTAGTATCACCTGTCTGTGCTTCTTCATTTATAGCTCTATTTAAACTTTTGTTCTTATAATATCTAATAACATTTATGATATCACTTTTAGCATCCAATTTATTTTCGTCGTGTATAGCTTTGAAATCATTTAGAAGACCTAAAAAGAACTGCTTATCAGGATCATTATCCTCTTTGGAAAGTTTCTCAAGGACGTTTTTGGTAACGCTTTCAGTCAATATTTCGCTGCACGCACACGTTGTCAATTTTTGTTTTTTCAACGGAATCTCGTTTGGAGTTGCTTGGGATCCTCCCGAACTTGAATCGCGTTTCCATCGTTCTGTTGTGACATCTTTCAAAAGTAGAAATTGGACTGGGTTCGTCTGCGGTTTGGTCGTAATGACTGTTGAGTTTTTCTTGTTCTGATTTATAACGGTTTTCGTTATTATGTCTCGTGATATTTTCAATTTGGCTTGTCCATCGATTGCTGTAAGTATAGAAACAAGTTTTGTGTTACTAGGGAGGCAAAAGATCAGCAATGACTAATAATTAATTTAAGCGTGAGAGAGTTATGCTTTGGCAAGAATGGGTCGGCTCGATCGGAGTGATACCACGGCCTTACAGGAAACCGGCGTGAAACAACCACAGCGTTGTGTGTTCACCGTGTGAGTGAGGTTACCGGAGACCCAATCCTTCCCCTCTCCAATCCATAAATTTCCAAATCCCCAAAAGGTCAGCGATGCACTCGTATCCTCTATTGTTGCGAGTGTCCATGGGCGGCACTGATTGCTAACCATCAGGTAATCCGTCTGCTCGTTTGCCGACGTATCACATAGAAAAAGGTCAATTATTATGTTTTCGGCTTACTTTTGATTTGTGGATTGCCGATTTCAACAATATTTCCTCACTATTGTAGGACTAGCCACCGCACATAAACAAGTTAGCAAGAACCATCATAAACAGACCTTTAAACGTGCAGAAAGACCATTCAAATTGAGACCATGATACATTGTAGTAAAGTTATCAATCTATCTGAAACTCACCACTATGATGGGTCTGCACGACCGGCTTTTTAACGTCAACTTGTCCACTCGACTCTGAATCACTCGAGCGAATGTTTTGAGCGACTCCTCCACTTGACAGATTCCTTTTACTCTCGCAGACGGGGCATAAAGACAAAAGTATTTCAACAGCTTTCTTAGGGACATAGTATTTAAGATGTTTAATGTTGGACAGCATTTTATCGCGTCCCCCGTGGCCACAAGTTTTATGCAACTCTAGCAATGTAACGAAATAGTCTTCTCTCGGTAAAATTCTGACTACGGGGACTGTGTCGGTGCGTCTTTTAAAAACTAAATGTTCCTGATTGTCTATAGTCACAATATCGTATTTTTTCGTCCAATAATAATCCATAGGGGTCATACGTTGCCCACAAGTTTTGCTCATTCTAGCTTTTTTTATTCCGTTTATAACTTCAGCTATTCTTTCCGATGTCCAAGCCTTTTTAAGAGATCCTGTGAACATAAAATGTCGATCATATTAATTTTACAGCCCTTCCTTTATAATGAACAACAGGAATTAAAAGTAGGAGAGCGAAGCTTTGACACGAATGGGTCGGCTCGACCGTAGTGAAACCACGGCCTCACAAAAACCGGCGTGAAACAACCGCAGCGTTGAGTTTCGCAGTGTGGGTGAGCTTACAGTAGGCCCAATCCTTCCCTCTCCTCCCATCCCTCCCCAATCCTTTAATATCCGAAACCCTTATCCCTTAAAAGACGGCAAAGCAGTGGTTACTCCTTTGGTGTTGCGGGTGTCAATGGGCGGCGCTAAGTGCTAATCATCAGGTAGTCCGACTCCGACTACTCGTTTGCCGGCCTATACCATAAAAAAACAAACGATAACTTCATCATCAGCCTAAATATGAGACTGCTGAGCAAAGGCCTCTTCTCACACGGAGAAGGTTTGAGCATTAATCGCCACACGCTTGCCCAAGGCGGTCTGACGATTCCAAACTCAAAATTAGAAATTATAAATCGAGATGTCGTCGTCGTATCGAGAGTCTAAATAATAGTGGAAAGGAAGTCAAAAATCAAAATAATAGTTGAATTCAATATTCATCATCATCATCATCATCAACATCATTCTTATAAATTGCCACCTGTCGACAGCACGGTTGGTGCAGTTGCTGGGCAACTGGCTGCCGCGCAGCGTGTCACAATTTCGATTCCCGCACGGAACAACTCTTTGTGTGATCCACAAATTGTTCCGGGTCTGAGTGTGTTGTGTTAAACTTTGAAATTGTATGTTTTTAAACGCACCCACAATATAGGAAAAATCCTAGTGTGGGACAAATAAAAAAAAGGTAAGAAATGACAAGTCGTACGGGTCTCGCTCTACGTCCCAACAGGAACGATGTTCCTGCTTAAAAAAGCAATCCAGAATGACATTTTTTTAGTACTTTTTTTGAAATGTATGTTGAAATACTATTATTATTTTGGCATGCGTTTTTGAAAGATGTTTTGTGGCGTCATAATATTATATACCTATGCGTCAAATAACTTGGGGGCTTATTACTAAAAAAATGGTAAAAATTTTCATGTTAAAAGTCTCTTTAATTCTATAAATAATGGTTTAATTTTTATTTGTGTAGGTATTCTATTTAAGTCCTAAAAATTACAACATTTTAATAGGTATCCGAAGCTAAATAACTCTACCCAAACTCTACCTAATTTAATTAATACTGGGCTTGATTTATGATTGCTCATAATGGGCTTAAATATCTTCATATTTTCTATAAAACATATGTAAGTATACCTACAAATCGACGCAAAAAAAACCTGTGATATACTTTTTTTAGTACCTAACAGCAACAAATTAGGTTCATAAGAATAAAAAGTCATGAAATTCACAACTCGTACTTGAAAAACTCACAGAACCAAAATAAATTAAATAACGGAATATATACGATTCTAAAAACAACTCTAAGAACTCAACTCTTATTAATAAATGTCATTGTAATCTTAATTGAGTATATTTCTAACCAATTAAGTACGAAAATTGCCGCAACAACTTTATGACGTCACATCTGGCGGTCGTTTTTGACAATTCATTAAAAGTATTGAATTTGACTTAGCTGTCACTTTTTCTGGTCTTGAAAATAATACGAAAAAACGAAAACAAACTCACCTTGATGTTGTCCGTCGTATTCGAGCAGTTTCCGATTAAAATTCTCTTGAAAAATGGTGTAACCTCTATCATTCACAACTAAATTATCGTTATTATTGTCACTACACGCTTCCATTGTAATATTTTTTAATTAAATTTCGCTAAATATCATCGATATTCTAGTTTACTGACGCCATATTGCCGGCAAAGCGCGATTCAGCGCTATGTGGCGGAAAATAGTACTAAAATAAAATGAATAGACTAGGCACGTAATGAAACGTCTGATTGGACGGACAATGAACCTTGATCGTGAGAATCGATTTTATAGAGTTAAACTGCTAAACAAAATATTATTATTTCGAGATTTTTTTTCTAAAAAAATTAAATTCTTTTTCACGACTAGTACTTATTGCTTAGTTTGTATTATTTCTGTAGTGAATATAGTTTTTTTCTACCTAGGCAATATTTTAACAAGATCGTTTTTGTTTGACACTACTTGTGGGGGTAGGGTAACTCAATGAAATCGATTGCCACGATAAAGTTAATTGGCCTTTTGATTAGACGTTTCATTACGTTTCTAGTCTACTCATTTCATTTTTGGATTTTTTATTTTAACGCTTTTCACTATAGTACAAAACAAAGTCACTTTCACCATCTCTAAATCCCTATAGAGACGGATTTTGATGAGGGTTTTTTTTTAAAGAAAGGGTGGTTAAAGATTGAAGAAGAAGGTACTTACCTACGTTGATATGTATAAATAACATCAATTAAATAAAAGAGATTTTTTTTTTAATTTTAATATTTTAATTTTTAATTATAATAAAGGAAGGGTAGCTCGCCGCCCGACCTTAACCAGACTGGAGTGTGAGCCAATATACCACCACAAACGGGGCTATACACGGCTGATGTTCAGCCGGAGTTGCGGGGCAAGCGCAATGCGGCCTCGGCCCAGAGCAGGATTATTCAGTACGAGTCTGACACTCCCTTCCGCCTGACTCTGAACCTAAAATGTAACAGGCGAATCTCCGTAAATGGCAACAATCCTATGAGCCACTAGGAACAATACCTAACGATTAACTGATAGGGTAAGACCTCTGGCCCCCCATATCCGGAATTCGTTTCGGCGCAGTTACCAATTGTATTAGCTCAGAAGCGAGAGCAAAATCACCTGATTACCACAAATTGTCGATAAAACAATAAAAATGTCAGAAATGAAAACATTTTGTACAGCCTTAGTGCAAAACAAGGTTTCTTATACTAGGTCTAAACCGTTGAGCCAGTTCTTGTAATTCAAATTGAAGGTAGGTGAGAATAAGATCTACTTACAAAACCGGAGTAACCTAGACTTAACACAAATCTGATTTTTATAATTATATTGAATATGATTTATAATAACTACTATATTGCTCTTACCCGCGGCGTCGCTCCCGCCATTTGACTACTTACCCTACTCTACCTACCCTACCTACCCTACTCTATTTACCCTACCCACCCCACTTTACCTACCCTACTTTACCTACCCTACTATACCTACCCTACTATACCTACCCTACTCTACCTACCCTACTCTACCTACCCTACTCTACCTACCCTACTCTACCTACCCTACTCTACCTACCCTACTCTACCTACCCTACTCTACCTACCCTACTCTACCTAACCTACTCTATCCTATCCTATGTCCTTCTCCCGGCTCTAAACTACCTCCCTGCCAATTTTCAGCTAAATCGGTTCAGCCGTTCTTGAGTTATAAGTGGTGTAACTAACACGACTTTCTTTTATATATATAGATAATAAGAGGTTAGAATTTTTAACATATTTTAAAGGGACTAGTTTTTTTTGTATAAACCTTCATGTTTAACATAAAAGGTAAAGGTCCAACTGTGTATTCAGATTTCTATGGTAACGTATTTATAATCTATTACATAGAAGGTAGAGTTGCTCTATGCTCTATTCTGTCAGTTTTATCGTAATGTCAGTTGTAGAAAAGTGAAAAGTGCTTGGTTTATTATTTTGTTATTTCTTGTTTATTTAATAATATAAAACGTGTGGACGGCGGCCCGCCGTAAATAAATGGCGCCTCGGCTTACAGCCTTAGAACGCGAGCACATCATTGCTCTGCGGCAGAGTGGATGTCGTATTGTGGACATCAGTCGTCTTACAGGAATTACGGTGAATAACTTACTATATCTTGTATTTATGTAGTAAAAATTGTAGTAAACAACAAGAAGACTACTACAAAATGCCTAATAAATACTTTTCTACATGTAATAGTAATTTTTTTCGTAACAATTCACTGTTTATTTCATCGTTTGCGTTTTAAAGTAATTTGGCGTAGGTAACATTACAATGTTTAGCCGTATAATTCAAGACTACGAAAACTATATCATTGCCTGGATATACTATCAAGAAAATTGATATTTTCTGTTATAAATCGAGTACTAAATGCATGATGAGAAGAGAAGAAGACTATTTGTTTTTGTAACTTGCAGAATCCTTTAATAGGTTCCTTACTTTTTGGAAAGAAAGAGTAGGGATTGTGAGATGGTAACCTCACATAAACCAGCCTAGTGGCCACCCTCAACAGCTATTAGGGGCGATTAGGTCTTGTTTTAGAGCGGTTTTACACAACCACACAACTTGTCACTGGCATTATAGTTGACAACACTTAATTTGAGTTGACTCTGTTTGATTGTCAAAATATTAAATAAATTACCTGAAGACCAACAAAATGAAACTTTGTTGTTAAAATCTACCACATAAATATCTACTACATTTTAAGAATACCCACTTACTCACTACACTGTGTATTGTAGTGTGTAATGCATACATAATATTTTATTATCCCAAAAGTGTTAAAAAATAAATCTTTACAATTTTTTTTATTAATATAGATAGACCTGTGTTTTTGAGAGTTATAGCCTACTGGATTCCTACTAGTTCCCAAATTATCAAATTATTAACCCAGAAAAAGGCCTGCAACTGACTCATAACTCCCCTAGTCTATAGGTGTCCAGGCATGCTACAGTCTTCCGACATCAGGTGATCCATCCATAGCTGGTGCCTAAAAATATCTCTATTATTATTTCAGAAAAGAACAATCTACCTTTGGATTAGACGTTGGGAGGAGGACGGTAGCTTGCAGCCTCATCACCGCAAAGTTTACAAGCGGGCCACTACAGCGGAGCAGGACGCTGCAATAGTCGCAGCTCATGCATCGGACCCACTCATGAGTACACGAGTCTCTTCTACTAGTTACAATGTGAGTGAGTTTATTGTTTATTGCTGTTTTTCAAGAAACACCTTGGTTTAACAAGAGGAGCATAAAAGTAAAAGTTTTTTTTCGAAAAATCGGTCCTTAAATAATAAAGCTTTTGTTATTTATTTCTTAGATATCAATGGACACAGTACGGCGACGTTTAAGAGAAGCTATGAAGAAAAAGAATGAGGAAGCTGGTGTAAGTACTTATATCTTCTTAAACTCTATACATATATATGTACATATATAATATGTACTGGCTACTCTCGCGCGGTTTCACCCTCTGCTCGGCACCACTTGATCGTAGCGTGATGTTTTATGGCCTACTAGCCCGCCTCTGCTTCGCACGGGTCCAACTATCTCGCTATCAAAGGGTCACTTTTTCCTAATCTTCCCCTCTTCTAATATTTTCTTTGAGAAGAACCTTCACCTGACAATAACAATCACAACAAAAAAAGAATTAGCAAAATTGGTCCAGGCGTTGTTGAGTGCGCTTACCAACATATTTTGCGATCCATTTGATGGATCGCAAATGATGGGGGTAGAAAAAGAATTGGGCCTCCGGTAACTTTACCCATACGGCGAAACAACGCTGTCGTTTTTTGTGAGGACGTGGCCGTGGTCTTCTGGTCATTCTGGTCGAGCCGACTCATTGGTGCCGAAGCTTAGCTCTCCCACACTTAAAGCTACTACTGGCCTTAAAGAAAACCGGCGTGAAACAAGCACAGCGTTGTGTTTTGCCGTGTGAATGAGTTTGCCGGAGGTCCAATTCTTGAATCGTCTAAAATCAAATCCTAAAATGCTATGTTAAGGGCATAACTCAACAACGTCTGGACCAATTTTTCTAAGGCAACCTGTCACATCCAAACTAAGATTATAAATGTGAAAGTAAATCTGTTTGGAAGCGAGAGAGGGCGTCCGCCCACACCGACCTTACGATCCCCATGTAGAGCCTCCAGCAGGAGGAGATGCCCCACCCCCCACCTGGTTGGGCAGCAAGCGCGACAGCACAGCAGCGGCGCCCATCAACCGGGGGCGAGCCGTGTACAGTGCGGCCCGAAATTCCACCGACTGGCGAGAACGCCAAAACCGTGTTTGTTGCTATAAAATATCACACTACAAGCAGCGGGTGAAACTGCTCGAGAGTCGCTAGTATTTAAATCTATACTAATATTATAATTTAAGTTTGTAAGTTTGTATGTAAGGGGTAATCTTTGGAACCACTGGTCGGATTCCCAAAATTCTTTCATTTATTGATAGCTACAATATTCCCGAGTGCTATAGGCTATAAGACATCACGCTACAATCAAATGGAGCAGAGCAGCGAGTGAAACCGCGCGAGAGTAGCTATTATAATAGAAAACGAAATCGGATTTATGTATACCTATATTTTTTTTTTCAGAACCCTGATGCTAAGAAAGAAAATGATAGAAAACTATTTTGTCCAAATTGCAATACTGAAGTGGAAACTCCTGCTGCTAAGAGGCAAGAGGTAATTTTTTTAATTACACTCCAACCTTAGCCCTGAGAGGGAGTGTCAGACTCCTACTGACTAAACACCAACCCGTTCCTTCTCCTGATCCGCTGGGCTAGAAGTAGCGAGAAAAAGGAGTAATACCACGGCGTTACAAAATACTGACGTGAAACAACATTTGCGATGTGTTTCGCCGTGTTTACCGGCCAAAGTCCTTTTTCCCCTCATTCTCAATCCCCAAATCCTCAATATTGATATCACTAATAATCCCCAAAAGGTCGGTAAGGTGCATAGATGTCTAAAGGCGACTCTGGACGTATGATGGACGTATGTTTTCACGCAAAAACGACTGGACAGTGGACACGCAAAAATCTGATATGCAGATAGGTGATGATAGCCTTTTTTGGCTACTATAAAATCATGGAATGACTTCTCTCGCCCAGGGTACGACGAGACTCTTACTGACTTACTTCCCCCTCACCGCTTTC